ATTATGATTTTATGTTAGTGTGCTAACATAAAACACTTTAGGGAAAGAGAGGAGGTTGGTGACATGAGAATTCTAAAAAGCGTTTTCAGTTTTACTTTTTCAATTATTTGAATGGTATGCTTCTTTTCTCTTTAATGCATTTCACAAAAAAAAAATGGAAGCATAAGAAAATTTTAAATTCACACCAAAAAGAAGCACCCAACAACTACAAAGGTTTATCCGGAAGTTTAATTATATTTGAACCTATCCTTGGTCCCTGATTTTAGACAACCAATATTTCTGGGTCCTGAACCTTGGCCACAAGCTCACATCCTGATTGTGATGCACTGTATGGATGTCTGCGAAAGTTGGAAGTAATGGTGGTATGAAATAAAGCATTGGTCTGAGAATACTCAAATGAGTAGAATAATTAAGGGGCAAGTTCTCGGGGAAAAAATGGGAACTGCTTGCATACTTTTGATAGTCTACACTATTTACCATGTGAACTGTGTATGAGTCTGAACTTAAATTCTATATTAGAGTTTATGGCTGAACAATATTTCTCAACATAAGTGCATTTTGGAATGTTCATACTTCTTAATTCCCAATGAGATGATGCAAATTGAATCCCTTGCTATATACAGCATATAAGTTTATTCTGACTGAAGCTATGGTAAAAATAACAAAAAATTTTAAAAAGTACTTTTATAATAAATAAAATTAGTAGATATGAGTTTTTAAGAATGAATTTACTTATTTTTATAAATTAAAAGTAACTTTTGAAAAGGCAAAAGAAGAGAAGGTAGCTAAATAAATACACACACACACACACACACACACATACACATATATAAAATTTCCATATACAAAGATGGTAGCCTCCTTATGGTCAAAGACTGCTAAATTTCTTATTTACCAGTTCACATGGTTGTCCATATGTAGTAGTTGCTCAGTAAGTATTTGATAGAAGTGGGGGGGGGGGGGACTTCTTCTGTCATTTTGTACAATCCCTATCATTTACATGTATAGAAATTTAGACATTGAAGAGCTGGTTACTGTGCTGCTGTTGTCCTCAGTTTCCTTATCTATAAAATGAAAGTATTGGAGTAAATGACTTCTTAAATTCTCATTCTGTCTTAAATCAATGATCCTAGATCCTGTAGGATCTCTTTAAAGTTACAGAACCATAACTGTCCTTGACAAAGCCAGGATTAGAATCCATATCTCTTAACCCCTTGTGTGTAACCTGGTGTTATTCATACTATGGCATGCTGATTTGCTGAATAAATGGATGGACAGATGGATAGATGAATGAACTGTATGAGAGAAAGAATGAATGGATGAATTCTCCTGCTAATTCCTGAACCAAATGACACTACCAGAATGAACTTTGAGTCTATCTTCATTTTCTGTTGGGGCTACCTTAGTGGTCTGTATGTATAAAGGCAGTGTAAATGTACACCATCTAAACTCCTATTTTTTTTATTACTTTTTGTTTCATACTTCTTAAAATTTATGATCAGTTAAGAGTAAATCAAGAAAAAATATTGGTTGACAGGTCTCACACACACACACTCACACACACACATTTTTGCAAGTGCTTGTTGGTATTGCAGTAGAAGTGATTCTCTGCAGTCCCTTTTCTCAGTGGTGGTGGCAAAGAAGTAGAAAAAAGGGCTGAGAATGTTCAGAAGACCCCATGAAGCAAAACACTTTGAAATATGTTTTTAAATTGGAATGTTCACAGAATCCGTATAAGACCTAGATAGAAATTAATGAGTTAGTCTATTTACCAATATGCTCTTTAATATAGTTTTTATAGATATGTATTTTTTACATCACCTAAGTTTTTCCCAAATTTCTTCCCCTTTCCCCTTCCAGAGAGCCATCTCGTATAATACTATTTTAAGAGCAAAAATAAAAATAAGAGGAAAAAAATTAGTACAACTGTTCAGTACTTGGAAAGAACCTGAAAATATGTGCAATGTACAATACTTGTGGATCATACACCTTTTGAAAAGGGTGGGGTAGAAGTGTCTTCTCCTGTCTTTTCTTTTGTGCCATGCATATTTTTTTTATAATTTCACAATCTTTACTTTTGATTTTTGTTTATTTGTATCTGTGGTTCTTTTTGTTTATATTGTTGCAGTCATGTATGTTGTTTTCTTGACTCTGCTTACTTCCCTCACTCTGCACCAATTCATATAATCTTCCTGTGTTTCTTTGTATTTGTCGATCGATAGGCTTTTATTACAAGGGAAGCAGGTGGTCCTTGTGGTTAGCAGCAGTTTCAGCTGACATTCTATATTGGTTGTTGTTATTTTGGCTCTTTAGAGTGTTTTTGTTGAAATGTTGATAACGTTTGTTACCTCCCTACATCATTGAAAGTGCAAAATTGTTACTGTAAGGATACTTGAACACGTTTTCTTACAGAAGCTTATATTTACATTTTAGAGTTACAAAACACTTTAGATACATGATCTCATTTGGTCCTCAAAAGAACCCTATGGTAAGTCTATTCACTTCAACAAGGATTTTTTAAGTAACTACTATGTGCAAGGCACTGTACTATTGGGAATAGAGAGACAAAACCGGAATACTTCCTGCCTTTATGTAGCTTACATTCTCTCAAGTGAACAACATGTAGCTACTTCAGGTATCACTATTTCTGCTTTACAGGTAAATAAACTAAAGCTTAACTTTAATGAGAAATTAAATTATTACAAGGTAAGTAAGATAGCAGAGCCTAGATTCAATCCTAGGTCTCATATGTGATATATGTTAGTTTAAATTTTGAATAAAAGTCAAAAAACTCAAGAGGCAGGTTTAGTGTTTTGTGACTGTCAGTCTTTTATTTCTACATTGCATTAGAGATATCAGATTTTGTGAATAGTATCTAAAATGGAAAAACATATAAGTTTTCCTATGTTTTATGATTTTACCTTATCATGTGTCATATTATTTCTGGTTTTCCTGTAATATGAATTTATCTCTAAAAGAAATCTCTTTTCCTATATTAAGTTCTATATCTGGTAATGAAATGCAGTAATTTAATGGTCGGATTTCTTTTAAGGATATGAGAAAGCATTTGAAATACACTGGATAATTTGCTACCAAAATGAATTTGGATTCAAATACTTTCCACTATTTAAAAGTGTGTGTTAGGTTATGTGTGTAAAACTTATTTGGGTTTCAAGTGGCTCATTTCTACCTTTAGAATTAGAACAATATAGAATCAAAAAATGGAAGGGAAGTTTATTAAATGCATTCCCCTCCTTTTTACAGATGAAGAAATTGAGGCCCACAGAGATTAAATTGCCCAAAGCCACATAAGCAATTCATTAATGGCAGAGCTGGGAATGGAATCCAAGTCTCCTTCTTCTTTGTTCAATGTATGTTTCTGGATACCATGTTTCAGTCTGTCACAAATCTCAGAATTTTATTATATAAAGCTTTTTGCAATTTGTGGCTCAGTGAGAGTGAACAAAAGAGACAGAATGGAAGTTGATAGTGCATTTGGGATTCAGGATTTAAGGAGGTAGGAACAGTGGTCAGCTTGCTATATTGAGAAAAGGCTGGGTAGATGAGATAATGTAAGTGAAAATGCTTTGGAAAACATATCAAATGCTATACAAATGTAAAGTGAGAAGGTGCTATAAAGAGGCCCTACTTTCCACCTCCCATTGAGGAACCATTTTGTTTAGATGGGAAGCTGTGTCTGCTAGTACCTCAGGTGGAAGAAAAAGAAAAGAGCCTAGGACTTACACTCTGGATGTACTCTGTCCTTTTAAACTTTTGAAAGAAAAGTACTTTATTTTCACTTTTTCCTTTAGCTTGATAATTCAATGGATAGAGTACTGGGACTAGAGTTAAGAAGACATGAGTTCAAATCTAGCCTTAGCTATTTACTAGCTATGTAACCTTCGATGTTAGCTAGCTGGGTTACACTGGACAAGTCACTTCACTACTGTCTCAGTTTTCTAAATTGTACAGTGAAGATAATAATAGTACCTATCTTGCAGGGTTTGTGTGAGGATTAAATGAAATGCTTAGCGCAGTGCTTGGCACAAAGTAAGTGCCTAATAAATGCGTATTTCCTCCTTTTAAAGATAGATTTCCATTTTGTAGGGCAAGGAAATATGTATTTCAGTAAGTATTAATTAAGCAAACTTTACCTATTATAGTGTTTATTGCTATGATCTCAACTTTTTGGCATCCTGAGGTATTGCTAAGTTTGTTTCTTTAGAAAGTGCTATTTGGATTCTAGTGATCCTCAAGAAGTTACTCATTAGTCTCTTTAGTACTCTTCATAAATATTTTCCTTGTGCCTAATGATTATAAAATTAAAGAACTTTTATTCTAAATACTTTGAATAGATTCTCATCATTGTTTTGTTTCCTCATCTGTAAAATGGGGATGATAATAGCATCTACTTTGCAGAGTTCTTGTGAAAATCAAATGACTTATTCATAAAGGGTTAACACAGTGTCTGGCACATAGTAGGTATTATATAAATGCTTACTCCCTCCCTCCCGTGTGTTATTTCTCCTTCTACTCATACACCAAATGACTAAAACAGTGGATCCTCTTGCCCCATGATTCTTAGAGGAAATGGAAACACTGAACCAGATTGTTCTCATTTGGGCTGCTTGTATCCAGAGCAAATGAAATAAAATAAATCTATTGAGGATTCCCCCAATAAGGAGGGGTGAAGGCAACAATAGATCGTGTCATTTTAGAAACAGGAAAGGGCTATAGTCAGCCAAGCAAAGTCATACTACCTCCTTTATATTCAGGAAGGAAGCTATTAAGTATCAAAGATATTCTGTCAACAACACCATGCCAATACATTGGTGTGTTATTTAACTGTTCCTTGACTCTGTAAAGGTGTTTGATGTCAAAAGGACTTTATAACCCCTTTGTGTTGAATGTCACCAATTTAAGCCTTGTGTTTCCTTTTTTCTTTTTATATCTATGTTTGTGTAATGATAAGCTGTCATTCTGACTTTTTTTTTAAACAGGATCGATCGCAAGATGTCAAGTGCTCATACAAATTACAAACTGGATGAAGCCCAGGCTATAATGAGTGAGCTCCGTACCATAAAGAAAGCTATTTGTACAGGCGAGAAAGAAAGGCGGGACCTGATGCAAGTAAGAATGTCAGACCATACAGCTTTTAAACTTTACACACACACACACACCCCAATTTCATCTCTTTTGATATATGCAATTTTCTTTTCTAGATTATACCATTGAGTTTTTGGTTTCTGCCCTTTCTTTCTTTCTTTTCTTTTTTTCTTTTTTTCTTTTTTCTTTTTTGCTCTGTTTAGGAAAAAATAGCCTTTTGTTAAAAGGAAGTAGAATATGATACTCAATCTGATCTTAATTCTTGACATTGGATTGGAATTTTCTTGATTATACTTGAATGAGCTACTTAATTCAACAAATTTTTTTTTAAAAATTTAAAAAACTATTATGGAAAGATGAGAGAAATTTGAGGGAAGAATTGACATGATTGAAGACATAGAGACTGGACTGTGCAAGGCAGTTGCAACATGTTTGTAGAAGATTAAGAGCATTTGGATTGGAGTATAGGACTCATGTAGGGGAGTAATGTGAGACATAGCCAGGAAAATTGGGTACAGCCTGATGGTAGAGAACTTTGAGTGTTAAAGTATGATACTGTTCTTCTTAGAGGCTTGGGAAAGTGTCAATACCATATTAGACGGATGAACCCATTTGCCTTTTCCATTTCTAGCCCCCATCATCATATATTTTTCTTCTATCTACCTTTCAGAGATACTTAGCATTGTTGTCTTCAGAAGACAATTATCCTTTATAAACCAATTGAAGAAGAATCTTTAAATGACTATGGTCCACATGTTTATTGAGCTGTCAAAATTCAATTCAAATTACATTTGTTAAGCACCTGCCTTGTAGAAAGCACTTTGTTATATGTTAGTAATATATAAGCTAGCAAGACAGTCCCTGCCTTCAAGGAGCATATGTTGTAATGGGGAGAAAGTAATGCAGAAAAGGTCCTGAAAAGTGTGGAGGTGATGGAGGGAAGGATACCTGCTTGAGGGCATGTGGGGAGAGTGCAGGAAGTTGCCTGAGCACCAGCAAGATAAGGCAGAAAGCTCCCCGTATCAGAGCTAGGGGGCCAGGGGTGGAGTTTTAAGTTTCTGTGAGATAGAGAAGGATGGACTGGAACTGTAAAGTGAGGAGATTGAGGGGAGATTGCAGCAAGTCATACAGAGGTTTGGACCCTGGGAAGATAAGGTAAAGAGTTCGCCTATCAGAGCCATGGGACAAAGGTAGGACAGGTATAGTGTCACATAGCAAGAGTGAAGGATAACAGTGGACAGTTCAGGTGCTCCATTGACAGCCTCTTAGTCTCAGGAGAGAACCAGGCACCCTGCCCATGCTTGCCAGAACATTGGTTCAACCATTAGTGGTTATATAATGGTAGGACATAGACAAGAGGCACAAACGATGGACAGGCATAATCCAATCTACATGCCTGGAAGAAACCTTCGTATTTATGAGATCACAGATCTTTTTTGAATATTCCAGGTTTTTGAGGACCACTGCTGATAGAATTTTTAGAGTTGGAAAAGGGAATTTAAGGATCATCTAGTCTGACTCCTGCATTTAAGAGAGATTTAAGGACCATATATCTCAAGTATAAAAACCAGCTGACAAATTCTGTTGATGATAGGTTAATGTCATTGGCTGTATGGGATAACAATAAAAAACAACAAAATAAACAGTAGATATTTGCATGGTTGTTAGAGCATTTTATATACCCTGAAAGACAGCATGGTATTAGAGAGAGAGAGTCGTCCTGGAAGTAAGGGAATACCTGAGCTCAAATTCTACTTTTGGTAACAATTGCTCTGTAACCCTGAGGGAGTCATTTAACTTCTCACTGCTCTAACTCCCTAAGATTTTAGAGACAAGGTGCTGCCTGAAATTTCTTCAACTGAGAATTCTTCATAATACATCTAACATTTTTATTGCATTTTAAGGTTTGCAAAGCACTGTATATATGTTATCTCATTTGAACCTCACAACTCTGTGATGATGATGCCTATTTTACAGATGAGAAAACCAAGGCTGAGATAGGTTGTGTGGCTTGCCCAAGGTTACACAGGTTGTCCAAGGCAAAATGTTTAACTCAGATCTTTCCAGTTTCCAATTCTATTATTCTTATCTACTATATCACCAAGCTACTAAAGAAACTGGTAAATTGGAAATTTTATTTATGAAAACACAATTCAATTGCTATCCTATACATTGCATCATTTAATCTTCCCAACTACTCCAAGATAGACAGGGAAAGAGTTGTTATTCATATTATGTAGATAAGGAGGTTAAGATTCAGGTTCAGTGACTTGCCATGGGTCATAAGTCTGGTAAATAAGAGGTATGGTATGGGACAAAAACCCCGTGTCTCTTGCCTCCCAAGTCCAGTTTTTCCCCTCCATATTTGCCATGCTGTATAAGAAAGACAAACATTTCTCTCTAATTTTTAGTGGAGAGAACTGTGCCTCTCTGCCATTTTTCCTTTCCTTGAAGTCCCCTGGAATCAAGAGGAGAACTTCTTGTAGATCTAGGCAACCCCCTTCCTCCACGTTGTGGACCTAGAGAGGAGTACATGAACCAAACAGTTTCTCCTGGCCACTCTAGTTGTGGAAATTCCATTACTCCTTTATGAGTAATAACCTGAGGCATCTTGGAACTGGTGGTTTCTGGAGAGGGTCACACTCTGCCTTAAAACCATTTGATGGGGCTTGTGCAGAGTAGCTTCTGTATTTGATAGATTACATTAATGTAATGGATTGAAGATTTCTTTCTCAAAATCTGAGTCTCAGAAAATGGAAAAAAGTCAAGCTTTTTATTTTTAATTTAATTGTGAATAGAGGATACTAGTGGTTTCTTCTGAATGCCAGAATACATATTTACTTTTTATTTCTGGCATATGCGAAGTCATATGAAAATATTTTTTTGCCACACAGAATTTTAACTGAAAAATCAGGTCAAGAAATTAAGTGAACTTAGCTTGAGTTGACAGGAGACTTGTTAAGTATACTGCTGGCTCTAAAACATTTTATTTGACTTTAAGGATCTTTTGGAAATTTTGTACAGTTTGCCTATAATAGGTGGCACAGTGGATAGAGTGTTGGGCTTGGAGTCAGGGAAGCCTGAGTTCAAATTTGGCCTCATATACTTGGTAGCTACATAATTCTGGGCAGATAACTTCACTTTCTGTTTGTCTCAGTTTCCTCATCAGTAAAATGGTGATTATAGCACCTACCTTCCAAGGTTATTGTGAGATTCAAATGAGAATATATTTGTGAAGGGCTTAACATGGTGCCTGGCACATTGTAGGAGTTACTTAAATGTTAGCTATATCACCACCACCACCATCATCATCATCTTCATCATCATTATTTAGAAAGACTCTAAAGGCTCAGAGTTTGGGCTTGCCCTATGGACAGTCTAGGTGCTTATTTCTTTGCATGAGCAAAATAGATATTTGAAAACAAAATGATAGAATTGGTTGTAGCATTGAAATGCCTGCCACCAACACTTTTTGTACCAGCACTCTAAGATGGGTCCAGATCTGTAGTGGAAAAGAACACTGCCTCTGATTCAGAAGACCTGAGATTTCTGCCTACACGACAGTAAGCAATTGAACAACCAACAAGTATTTATTAAAAGTTCCTACCATGTGACAAGCATTATGTTAGGTGCTGGAGAACAAATGTCAAAAAATGGACCTATCCTTATTAGCAGGAATTCACTTACCGTCCTTGGGTAAGCCTCCAGAGGCTTCTCATCTGTAAAATGAGGGGAATAGAGTTAGAGCCTCTGAGGTCCCTTTGACCTGTAACTCTCTAAATCTATAATCTGTAAAATAATCAAGGTAACTTGCTGTGTCAGCTTTGGCAATTCTCTGGGTCTCAACTTTCTCATTTTAGAGATGAAGAAATTGAGACCCAGAGAGTCTCAAAAAGGGGGGAGGGCAGCCAACTGGCACAGTAGATAGAATGCTAGTCCAGACACTTGCTAGCTATGTGACCCTGGGTAAGTCCCTTAACCCCACTTGCCTCCAATGAATGAGTGAATGAATGAATAAAAATAAAATAAATTTATACTATTACAAAAGAAACCAATTATTAAAAGGGGGGAGGCGCAGCTAGGTGCTACAGTGGATAGAGTGCTAGCCCTGGAGTCAGGAGGACCTGAGTTCAAATCCAGCCTCAGACACTTGATACTTATTCGCTGTGTGACCCTGGGCAGGTCACTTGACCTTGATTGCCTCACCAAAAAACAAACACCAAAAAAACTCTCTGGGTCTCAATTTCTTCATCTCTAAAATGAGAAAGTTGGACTAGATCAGGGGTTCTTAACTTTTTTTATGTGTGTCATGGACTCCTTTGACAGGGGAAGCCTATGGATTCCTGAAAAATGTTTTTAAATGAATAAAATAAACTACATAGGATTACAAAGTAAATCAGATATACTGAAATAAGGATGCACATTTTTTTCAGATCAAAGTTCATAGATTCCCCCTGAGATCAATCCATGGATCTAGGTTAAGTAGATCTGAAGTAGATGACCTTCCAGCTTGAATATTGATGATGGTGATGGGGATGATAACATTTACATCACATTTACTATGTGCCAGACACTGTGCTATGCACTTTACAATTATCATATCATTTGATCCTCACGACAAACCTTGTAGGCCGGTGCTGTTATTTTCTCCATTTTGTAGATGAGGAAACTGGGACAAACAGAAGTGAAGTGACTTTCCCAGGATTATGTAGTAAGTAAGTGTCTGAGACTGGATTTGAATTCAGGTGTTCCTGATTCTAAATTTTACCGGGCATATTTGTTTCCCTTGCACTCTGTGAATTCTCAAAAAATAACTTTGTTTACCTGAAAAAGTACCTCTATTTGGGTTAAATCTCACCGTATACTCTGGGCAATGGAGGGAATAAATGGGAAGATAAGCAAGAAATACACTATAACTTAATGATAAAAATTACAGCATGATAGTTGAGCTGCCACTAAAAAAACAAAAACAAAAACCGAACAGGATTGAAATTGACATCTGCTTTCATATTCTTTTTTTTTTCCTTCCATTTCAGAGCCTGGCTAAGCTTACGGATGGTTTCAGGAATAGCTGTTGTATTTCAGACTCTCTGCAAGATTTGTCCCATAATTATGGTTCAGTTGGCAGTTCTTGTTTACCTCAACAATACTGTGACGCTGGTTCTCAAACTGACATCATTGGAGAGGTATGCTGGCTGACAGAGATGAAAAGAGCTTGAGGATAGGAGGAGAAAAAAGGCTGCTTTTATGTTGCCATGATTTATTCTGTTTCATTTCCCATTTTAATTTAAAAAATATTTGGTGTGTGTGTGTGTGTGTGTGTGTGTGTGTGTACACACATGCATACGTGTATATGTGCTCAGACATGAACGATAAAGACTGAAGAAAAAAATACCATTTCCCCTTATTTCTCTATTAAACTTGAGTGTAGATTGCTCATGATTTCTGTGCTTATGATTTAGATGCCTAAGAGTTGCTGGGTTTGGTTGTTGATGCTGTCAATTGCAGACTTTGTAGTAATAGTGACTGCTGTCATTCCTGATGGGATTTTAGCAACATCCGTCTTCCCCTAAATATCTGTACATTAAAAAGGTGGTATGTAGAGTTCCTCTTTCTTCTTTTTTTTAAACCACATCTGTGATTTCAGTGGAATTAGGAATTCCTGGGTGAGGAAACTCCCTTCACAAATACAGTTAGTGCATCATGTACTTTGCAATGTAAAAGTCTCTGAGAGTTGCCCCAGGTTAACTAAATTGCCCAAGGTCACACAACCTGTATATGTTGTAGACAGTACTTGTACTCAGGTTTTCTTGACATTGAGGTCAGTTTCCTATTCATTAACCCAATGTTGCCTCTTATGTATTCAAAATCCAATTGAATTGAAATTATTTTTGCTTATGAACTCTGGGAAAATTTCAGCAACCTTCTGCAAAGGTAAAAGTGTGCCATAAATTCAGGTCTGGATTCATTACTGAAGCTATTGAGAGATATAATCTCTCCATCTTTGGAAAAATAAAAGTAACGAAGTCTGTTTTCTTCTTGGAAGAACCCATTAGGTTGTAAGCTCCTCCATTAGACTGTAAGTTCCTCAAGGGCAGGGGCTTTTTTGCTTCTTTTTGTATCCTCAGGACTTAGCTCAGTGCCTGGCACATAGTAGGTACTTAAAAATGTTTATTAACTTATTGAGGTCATAAAATTAAAATTCAGATTCCCTTGAGGAGCTGGAGAGACCTGATAATGATGAAATACAATAAAATCTTTTCATGAGGGAAATAAGTACTACTCCTCCAACACCCCCAACCAACTTTTGTCAAACTCCTTACTGTTGTGTGTAGCAAAGTACTTTTGGTGTGTGACCTTTGGCAAGTGGGTTCATCTCTCAGCTTTAGTTTTCTTATCTATAAAAATCAGAAAATTATTTCAAAGGCCACCTATAAGTCCTGAAAATAGAATTTCAAGAGTTATACCCCAAAGGTGCTGACATTTATGCCTGTTGGTTACTTCTGTTGTGGTTCAGGTACTTTAAAATGCTTTCGTATTCTTAAGAGTTCAGTTTTCATACTTGGCAGATGTAGAGTGGCAGCATAGATCAGGGGAGTGAATCTTGGCTTTGGAATCAGAGGATGTGGATTCAAATTCTACCTCTGAAGATTGCTACCTGTTAGACCTTAGACAGACAGCTAGGTGGCTAGATCTCGGGCCTGGAATCAGGAAAACTCACCTTCATCAGTTCAAATCTGACCTCAAATACTTACTAGCTGTGTGACCCTGGGCAAATCACTTAACCTTGTCTGCCTCAGTTTCCTTATCTGTCAGATGAGGTGGAATTGGAAATGGCAAACCACTCCAATATCTTTGTCAAGAAAACCCCAAATGGGGTCATGAAGAATCAGATATGACTGAAACAACTGAACTTTAAACTTTAAACAAGTTACTTAACCTGTTTGGCCTTTAGTTTCCTCATCTATAAAGTTGGACCAAATAACCATGGAAGCCCTGCCAGGTCTAGATCTTAGTTCTTATAATTCTCTGACTGTTGGCTAGTTTTTCACAACATAAACAGAACAGGAGTCAGTAATGGGATCTTGCTAAGGAATGGCAGGGGAATACTGGAATATATCATTCAACCTGTAGGAACTATGTCTCATTTTTAAAATCCATGATTTTAAGAAGAGTAACTTGAAAGGCAGTTGTGTCTAGAGAGTCATGAGTTCAAATACTGCCTGTGAGACTTGCTAGCTGTGTGGCTGTCTTCACCTTAAGTTCCTGCATGTTCAGTGCCCTAGGAAACTGTCTTATAACTTAAGGAAGACCTTAAGTTATAGATGAGATACCATCTGCCTCAATGGAAGCAGTTTTTGCACTGAGATTTCCCTACCCTGGGGAAGAAAAAGGAAGAGTAGAATATAATTTTGGTTCAAAAGAGAGAAAGAAAACAAAAAGTCACTATGAAAGTGGCATGAAGATTGCAGAACCTGGGAGAGAGATTTAAATGATGACTTAATAATTATGTGGAATATAGATATATTATAAAAAAAAGAAAGAGGACAAATGTTCATGTCTTCTGAGAATAATACAGGAGATATTAACTGAGGCTGTTGGACAAATATGTAGTTAAATGTGATTTTTTTTTTTTTTAAAGACAACTTTTAATGGCCTTGTCATTAATCTTAGGGATTCGGTAGTAATAATAGATGACCTGTCTGATGTTTTATGGTTTATAAAGTACTTTCACACACACTGTCATTTAATCCTTAAAACAACTCCCTGAGTAAGGTATTGCCATTATTATTTTCCTTATCTTGTAGAAGAGGAAATTTATGCTCACTTGTCCAGGGTTTGATAGTAACTGGACTTGAAAATCCAAGTCTTCTTACTGAAGGGCAGTTTTCTTTCCACTATACTTTAGCAAAAAGGGACTCAGAGGTCTAATTCTCCAGGAATATTTAAACATGTTGTGCTCTGATTGGGTTGAGGGAAAAAAAAAAAAATATATATATATATATATATATATATATATATATATATACACACATACACATATACGTGTGTGTGTGTGTGTGTGTGTGTGTGAGACCCAGTACTAGAATTTTCTCTTCTTGGATCAGTATGCTTATATAATCAAGAGGGAAAACAAAACAAAATCATGAAGACCCATTGGATGTCACTGATTTCAAAGCTCATATTCCAAAGGTTAAGCTTTTTAATAGCAATTGTAGTGTATAATTTAGTAAATTCTCATCAGATCGATGTATCTGCCCACTAAGCTGAACATGCAAGATTATGTAGTGTAACATGCATAGTAATGGATATAGGGTCTTACTGTATTCATAGTATGACTACTGTTATTCTCCTGTCTGTACATCTCAGTATTGAGTTTACATTTCTGCTAATATCACAACAACAACAACAACTACTACTGTTGCTACAATTACCAGCACTACCTATACCACCAGTACTACTATGACGACTACTACTACTACTACTACTACTACTACTACTACTACTACTACTACCACTACTACTCCCCCTATTAGATTGTGAGCTCCTTAAGGGGAGGGGTTGTGTTTTGTCTCTTTTTGTATCTTCATCTCTTAGCATAGTGCCTGGCACATAGTAGACCTTTAATAAATGCTCATTAACTGACTGGTGATGATAATGAAGAGTACTACTACTGATGATGATGATGATGGTGATAATGATGATGGTAGTGGTGGTGGTAATTTCTTGGACCAGGCCTATGATTTTGTTAGTCTAGGAAATTCTCTCTTATATGTCTATGATTATAATAATAAATAATTTCAAGAGTTTAACTATGGTGTTGATTATTATCAGGATTTAATATGCATAGTTATTAAGTATACAAATATATGCATACACATCCCAAGTCAGCAAGAATTTGTTAAGCATCTGCTATGTTCCCTGCACTATACTAAATATTGAGCAGACTAGGAATGGCAGAAACAGTTCCTATCCTCAAGAACCTTATAATCTAATGAGACAACAACATACAAATAACTATGTACCAACACGAAATGTGTGTGTGTGTGTGTGTGTGTGTGTGTGTGTGTGTGTGTGTGTGACAACCTTTCAGGACTAAACAGCTTTCTAAGACTTAAGTTGTGGAGAAGGTATCAACCTGCTTTGGTTAAAGGGGTATTGTGAGTTGGGAGTTCCCTATGTCAATGAAATCACGGGTCCAATCCCTTGCCCAATAAATTGTATATGCTGTCACCTAAGTCATTCCTCATATTCTGTTCATATGGTTTGATTTTCCTCCCTAAGTATACAACTCTGTTAATCCATGTTGGAACATTATGATTTTTTAAAATTTGTTCATTTACAGTTTTGTGAATTCGGATCTTTATTCTTATAATCCCATCATCTCCCCAGTCTGTGTTCATAGAGAATATGTTGTTTTTCCGTAATACCCACCATTCATAAACATAATATGTGACTCTGGACCTGCACTTTTTCCTGAGCCTCAAATATTTATTACAGAATGTCTTATCTTGATAATTTGTTGCACTAACATATAATCACTAAACGATATGACAATATAATATACAGAGTTATCTCTGGCTTTTATTATTTGCGCTTTCATCTTTGGTATGCCATTTAAACCTTGACCAAAACAACTCTGATTTTTTTTTAACATTTTAGTAACAGTTTCCTAAAAGAAGATTTAGGACATTTACATAACTAAAAATAAGCACAACCTTTGATTGAAAACATTTCTTTACTAAGATTATTTGAAAGCTTTTAAAAAATGTTATTGATTATTTGGGTGTGAAAATTTAGATGGATTTTATATTAGCAAGATTAATCACTAATATATTGTCTTCTTCTCCCCCTTCAATCTTTTACCTCTTTTCCTATACTTAAAGTTTGGCTTTGATGATAAAACAAGACTTGTAGACAGAGTTCGACTTAATTGGCAGTATGAAGAGGCCAAAAAGAGGTAAGAGGTTCATTTTTAAAAGAATCATACTCTGTTTATCTAATTTGAATTTTGAATATTTTGATACCAATTTAAAAATACTATTAAAATGTTATTGCCTCCTATTGATGATAATGATGAAAAGATTGTTCACATGATGGAAACAAATACCTGAATTATCCCTTGCCTTTCCTTCGCTCTCCTTTCCCAAACTTTGTAAAGGTATTTCATGTTATGAATAGCAAATTAATTTTGGAAAAAGCATATTAAAATACATAGCTCGAGTAACATGTTGAGTTTAAGATGTCTATAAGAGGTCTAGTTCAAGACACTAGTCAGCTTTTATGCGTGACGATCTGGCTGGATAAATGGATCTGAATGATCCATTTTTTAAGTGTATTTTTATCATGGTTCCAACTCATGATTGTCTAAATCATTGGAAGGAAGCAGTGGCAAATGTAACAAAACATGGACCAATTAAAATCCTCAATAGTTTAACAAGTGATTTTTAAATTTTTGTCTCAATATAGGCCTATCTTCAATTCTTATAATGGAAGTTAGAGAAAATATTTCTATATTTTAATTTTTTTAAAAAGGCCCAACTGCTATAGTCCCTTTGGTATTAGAAAACAAAAAATAATATATGATTTTCACAAACTATTTTAACATCTGTTCTGCTTTAGTTTGTAAGAATTTGAAAGAATGATTTGTTTATCTTCTGCTCTATGGATACTATGTCTTTAGAAAACAAGAAATGAGACTTCGTTTCCAAGCCAATCCAATAAACATTTATTAAGTGCCTACTATGTGCCAGGTACTGTGCTAAAGCACTGAGGATATAGTTAATAAAAAGAAAGATAGTCCCTGCCCTCAAGGAACTTAAACTCTGAAGGAGGAGAGAATACACAAAAGGAGGCAGGAAAGCTGGAGAAGGGAAGACCTTCCCGGCATCTCTCTCAGTGGAGCTGAAACCAGGTAGAACAGCAGATGCAAAGTGGAGGGAACTGAGCCAAATTTCTGCCTTCTAGGAAGGAAGGCATTGGGAGGGGCTTAGTACTCCTTCGTCCAGTCCTCCAATCAAAGGGGAAAGGAGGTTGTGGGACATGTTATCAATAAGGCTTGAGTTAACTGCTTGGTTGTTTATGTTTAGAAGTGATGAGCTTATCCTGGGAGGGACATTTCATTCCACGGCGAAACAGCAGATGCAAAGAGGAGAACATTTGGATATTATCTTGTATTGCTACTCTTTTCCTTCTGGCTTTACCCATAGAACATGAGTCAAAATAAGTATAGGTGAATAATCATGCATTTCTTCTCCCATTGCATGGTTTCTATTTTATCAGTATTTTTTGTGACATTGTCCCATGTGCACTTTGGGAAAATGTTCTCAAACCAAAGTGTTCTGATATATTAGAAAGAAAATTCTTTGCGAAAAGAATAGGTAGTGGTTATCTGGTATTAAAATGTTTTCTTTGCCACTTCCCCAAATGAAACAGACATTCTAATGTCAAAAAAGGGATATTGTGATTCTGGGAGATGACTGTAACCACTGGCACATAGTTTAGTTGGACCTACATATACTTTACATATTGAGTCTCATTTTTTTGTTTTTTTTTGTTTTGTTTTGTTTTTTAATGTAAAAATTGCCATAAAAACAAATCATATGACTGAAAAGTAAAAAACTTTGGTTACTGGCCTTCTGTCTGGCAGATATTTTCATAGCTTTGGTTCTAACTTCTTACCATCATACATTAGAATGTTAGGCTTTAAATTTCCACATGAACTCTAAAAAGCTTATTTGCCTAGACTAGTTATCTCTGTGGTCACATACTTCATTTATCATGCATTCCTTCTCCCTAGCTTGCTGCCATTTCTGTAGAGCCTTTGTCTTTACTAAATATTCTTATGTTCATTCTTGTATGTTTCTACTGAAATGGCTAAGTGTGGGTGCAAGGAATTTGCTGTGCTGTATTAAAACTTGGAAAATAGATCATCGCTACAGTCAAATTTATTGTTACATATTTCACCGTGACCTTTACTTATCAAATATAGCATGATATTTTCTTGCTATCTAAAAATGAATACAGAAATAACCTTGTTATACTGATTAAAATTATATTTAGGGGCAAGATAGAGTATATGAGAAAAGAGTTTATTCAGAGCAACTCTACGGCAGTCAATGGAGAAGCATTTATGAAGTACTTACAGGGGTGGGGAACCTGTGACCTTGAGGCCACCCATGGCCCTCTAGGTCCTTGGGTGTGGCCTTTTGATTGAGTCCAAGTTCAAATCCTTTTATTATTATAAGGGGATTTGTTCTCTGAAGTTTGGATTCAGTCACAAGGCTGTACTTGAGGACTTAGAGGGCCATATGGGGCCTCCAGGCTGCAAGTTTCCCACCCCTGCTCTATACCAAGTACTGGGTTAAAAGTTAAAGTTAAAATATGGTCCCTGCCCTCAAGGAGCTCACATTCTAATGGGGAGTGTAACATAAATAACTAGGTGCATGTGAGATATATAGAGAATAGATGGAAGGAGCCTTATAGGAGAAGGCACTAGTGGCTCATAGACCAGAAAAGGCCCATTGAAGGAGAAGGCCCTTGAGTTGAGTTTTGAAGGAAGCCAGGAAATCTTAAGAGTTGGAGTTGAGGAGGGAGAACATTCTAGGCACCTTTTCAAAAGTCTGTTCTAAGTACATTTCCAGGAAAGTTCTGTGATGATGCAGCATTGTGGCATGGAGATGGCTCTTGATTTTCAAAGACTATGCCAGTGCAGTTTGAAGTTCTGCCAAGTCTTACTATGGCAATACAGCTTTCATAAGGGCATGTGGTAGACTATTCCCTTGTTTCCCAAGGGCCTCCCTAGTTAAGGTTATAGAATAGTACAATCAGAATATTGGCTACCGAATGATGACTCTTAGCTACAACAATTCATGAAGATAGTCTATTAAGGCAGGCAGGGCTTGTAATAAAGATCAGTGAAGGGAACAAACACCCATACCAGTGAAATAATTTCTTTTGGAGTATTTGAATATTCTAGATATACTGGAGCTTTACTGTAGAATATACCCCCAACTTTTTTTCTTGTTTTTTTAGTCTTTTAGAACCCTCTCTCCATGCAATTCATTACTGATAACTCCCATTTAGAAACTGGGATTGCATTTTAAGAAATTTTCCTTTGTAGTGGAGTCTGTACAGGGAGTTTAATGGAAGATAATCTGATGGCTGGGCATCTAGGTAGCTCGGTGGAGAAAGTGCTCATCTTCCTGAGTTCAAATCCAGCCTCCCGATACTTACTAGCTGTGTGACTCTGGGCAAGTCACTTCACCCTATTTGCCTCAGTTTCCTCATCTGTAAAATGAGCTGGAAAAGGAAATGACAAACCACTTCAGTATCTTTGCCAAGAAAACCCAAAATGGGCTCACACAGAGCCAGATACAACTGAACAACAATAACAACAACCTGATGGATTAATTTCCAGATCTATATTGACTTATAATCAGTATCTCCTTCCTCTAGGAAGATGAGAGTTATAGGACCATAGTATCATAAATAGAAAACTGGAAGGGAATTTAGAGGCCACTGAGTTTAATCCTTTCCTTTTACAGATGAGAAAGCTAAGGCACAAAGAGTTTAAGTAAAGATTTGCTTGCGATCACACAGGTAGTAAGGGATAAAGGTAGGATTCAAACTCAGAATTTCCTGACTCCAAGTCAGTTCTCTATCCACTATGCCACTAAGCTTCCCCTGTTGCCTTTCAGTCCTCCAGACTTGCATAATAAGTCATTACAAGCCATTTTCTTAGTAAGGGGAGGGTCCTCAGATACTGCATTGTAGAAACTATTGCCTCTTGTCCCTGGACTCTTTCCACAATGGGGAAGGGCTCCTACACATCAGAGTAAGTCACAGGACAATTCTTTAGTCCCTTTTTTATAGTGAGACTTTCTGGTCTGTTCTTGACAGTGATTGCCCCTTTCTCTATCCTTAGGCAGTCTCATTCATTCCCATGACTTCAGTTGCTGTCTCCATGTATATGATTATCAAATCTTTGTCAGAAGAAGGCACAGTAATTATGTATATTCAGTCATTTTTCAGTCATATCTGACTCTTTGTGAGCCCATTTGGGGTTTTCTTGGCAAAGATATAGTAGTGGTTTGCCATTTCCTTCTCCAGCCCATTTTACAGATGAGGAAACTGAGGCAAACAGGGTTAAGTGACTTGCCCAGGGTCACACAGCTAGTAAGTATTTGAGGTCAGATTTGAACTCAGGTAGATGAGTGTTCCTTACTCCACATCCAGTGCTTTATACACTGTGCCACCTAGCTGCTCTGACTATAGATGAGATGATAATAATATTGCTCTGAAATTAGCCATCCTTATATACTATGTTGAAGCCAAATTGGCCTCCTTGAGGTTCTCTAAATATATTTCATCTCCTGTCTCCGGGCTTTTGCCAGCCTGCCCCTCATTCCTAGAATGCTCTCCTTCCTTTCCTTTGTTGCTTAGAACTCCTTCCTTCCTTCACAGCAAGTTAAATGCCACTTTCTATCACAGACCTCTGTTGATTTCTATTTCTCAGGGCCCTCACTTGAAATCACTTCGACTCATTTTTTATAAATGTTACATTTACTTATCTCTGTTGTTTTCTCTCAGTAGAATGAAAACTTTTTTTTTTTGGCAGTTAGGATTAAGTGAGTTGCCCAGGGTCACACAGCTAGTAAGTGTCAAGTGTTTGGTCTGAGGCCAGATTTGAACTCAGGTCCTCCTGACTTCAGGGTCAGGGGTCTATCCACTGCACCACCTAGCTTCCCCAGAATGTAAACTTTTTAAGAGCGGTAACTGGTTTTGTTTTCCCAGTGTCTGTCACCTAGTGGACATTTAATAAATGCTGCTAAATTGAGGAAAATCATCTTTGATATAAGAATAATTTGCATATTGATTTGTGTCGTATAAATTGATGCTTCTAAAGTATTTGCAAAGTTTTCTCTCTTATGTGTATGAATACCCCCTTTAGCCAGTGGA